ACTTGGTGACAATTGACTTGTCCCAAATAAGATCATATACTCCATAAGAATTATTCCCGACATAAGACGATTGATGCTCAATATTTCCCTTTACAAATACGCTGAATAAAGCTCTCAAATTCACTATTTCTGCAATCTCCTTGGGAATTTTGTTTGGATCATCATGCCGCTATGAGATTCATGTTTATAAATTAGTATACATAAATTATGTAAACATATTATACAAATACCTATTAAAAGTATTTTGTTTGAATTTCCATACCTCACATACCAAGGTTCTCATAGCGCTAGCCTGCATGCCTAGAAGCTTGACACATTCTTTATCCCAAAGTATAAATGAAGCGCTATTTGAGTTGTCTATAACGCAGACACTAACCTCGTACCTATTTGAATGAATATACATTTTATTTGTAATTTAATCATGTAAATTACTTTTTTAATATTAAAATATAGAATTTTTATAACCTGTAGACTCCATCGGGATATTCTCTATTGCATTTCTTGCATTTAAATCGGTAACCATCTGGAATAATCTTACTATTGCATGTCTTACAACCAAGGTAGCACCACTCAACTGTGTTTTCAATCTCTACCACATCACCAATTATCCAATAATATCCCTTCTGTAAATAATAATATACATTAATAAGGCATGTTTTATTCAGTCTTACACTATCTGAAAGTTGCTCGCTACATTTATATGTACTGGCAGTTTTTAAAAAAAGTAGTTTTAAACTCAAGTTTAATATTCACATCACATATAAGTACATTTACAAAGTAATATGAATGAAAAATAGGTAGTAAAATGTTTTCGAAGTTCAAATACATGATTATTGAAGGAGCGATAAATAAGGCAAAAATTATCGAAGTACAAATAAATGATTATTAAAGGAGCGATAAATGAAGGAGCGAAGTACAATGAATATTTACACGGGTCATATGTTATAAATAAGGCAAAAATATTTACACGCATTAAATATAAATCTTTCCTTTTTTGTTCGCAGACACCTTTCTATTGACTTGTCATAGAATTTTTTCGAAGTACAAATATTTACTACTTAAGTAAGTAAGTCACCAATTACTGCCAAATCAATATAAAGATTTGTATCAAATAATTATCACAGTTTTCATAGCTTTGAGATCTCGGATGGAGATTACTGTCATCTCTGTATTTAGTGGATTAGTTTTAGGTCCAGATTGGGTGGATACAATGCTGCAACTCTAAGATAAATTATCTCCACCACACGACAATAACCTGTATGATACAATAAAAGCAAATTTTTTTAGCCGTTAGATTAAAACCATAAGTAAATAAATAAAGAAATAGAAACATGAAAGAATTTTTGAAAAAGAAACAATGTTAAACGAACATATAATAGTGATACCATTATATCGCCTAGGTTTCACCATCTGCAAACAAAGAATTGGTGGACTTGTCAATTCTTCATTGAGTCCCTCGATCACTTTATCTTTATGATGAGCCCACAACGTACAATCTAGACGGTTTCCCCTGAACAAAGATTCATTAAAGTGATTAATAATAGAAAGCTCTAAAAAAATAACATCAAATATGATACATTTATGTTATGTATACCTATGGTCTTCCAATACAACCTCCATCATCCTCTCGGGGGCACATTTAACCATGCATTCTTCGGGCATGGTACGACTAACAACTTTTCCAAAGACATCTGTGATTAAAATAATAGTATATACTATTTATTTAAAGTAATTATACTCGACATATAAAATTTTTTTGATATAGAAATTATATAATTTACTCACCAATCAACAAAATGTCGTCCAAGTAAGGTAGTAACTTGATATCATCGAATGCCATGAATTTGTATCGAAAATTTGGGAAAAAGTCTGACGACAATTTTTGAATTTTGGTTTTTCCAAAAAATACTATCATAAAAGGATGGGAGGTTGTCTTAGTGTTTTGGAAGTTGTGCTGAACTTTGAACCGGTTAAACCATAAACTTGATTTTCTTCAATTTCCTTTTCGAAAATTTTGATATTCTGATCTTTTATCTGTGCATGGATCCAATTTCCCTGTAAATCAAGAAATAGTTATTTTTGTTATAAAAACAATGTGTTTAATAAATAACAACAATTAAACCTGTTGATCATGAAAGATGACATCAAGAGATTCCGGTGTGCGATCATGCGCAGCAATTCGATAAACTCTTACCGCTCGCACCTTTACCATGAACGGGCCTAAACCATCATCAATTTTGTCCAAAGTTGACCACACACGCATTATAATATACGGTTTGTTTTAGAAGTCGAGAAGAATATACCGTTGTATTGTAGATTGTGGATCTCGTAAATGGGATCACAATTTATACGAAAATATTATTTTCGTAAAAGGAAACGAATGGGTAATTGGTAATAATGGTAAATCAAATTATTGGTAAATCAAATTATAAATGCAATTCAAAATGTACTCACCGGCCATTCAAAAATCTACCCTTGTTTTATTTCTCATACCACACCATTTTAAATAAGGTAGATTCTTTTGCAATTCTCATCTTCTTGCTTATTTTATATTTTCTCTCTCTCAAAGTATTTGTCTACTTTTGATTTTTTTAGGTCAAATGCAGCAAATTTTGACCCTAAATAAAATAAAAATGATATTAGATATTGATAAAAAAATATATTTATTAGATTTATTATATAAAATATTTTTAAAATGTTATTTTATATAATTAATATAAAATATATATTTTATTTAATTATAGGTCAAAGGTTGAAAACGATTGACTGAAAAAAGTCAAAAGTGGACAAATACTCTGAGACGGAGATAGTAAAGAGTAAATTCCCAGAGTGGTAATTAATAATTATCTAATTTCTCAAATTAGTTGTCAAAAGTCAAAACAAAATAAGTTCAAAATGGTACTCGATAATTGAGAACAATGCTCATTTCAGTTCCCCCAACTAACGACCGTTAATACGAGGTTAAAACTTACTCTCATCCTAAAATGATCTATTGAAATCAGTGTACGAGGTTTGACTGAAATTATTTTCAATTTAATTTATTTGATTATAGGTGTAAAATCTAAAAATAAAAATTATAGAAATTTTAAAGCTACATCAAAAATTATATAAAATAAGATGTGACATGATTATATTATTTTGTCAAATAACTAACGAGAGTAGGTAAAGAAAGTGATTAAAGTTTGACCAAAATGATACGGAGTACTTTCTAATTGGGTGTTTCCTCAAATTGGTCGATTTTAGAAATACAAATACGTTAATTATAGAAAAATATTCTAAATTTTATAGGATGACAATTTAATACTAAAAACAATAAATATACTTTTACAAATTTAAAAGTGACTTTTTAAATTATTAACAATAATTTAAAAGATATCATGTAAACAAAATATTTAATAAACATTGAAGAATTCACCCTAAATAGGAGTAAAACATAGAAAAAGAGCTCATATCTTGATACTTCCTTTATGTTTTACTCTTATTTAGGATGATTTCATTACGACTATTAAACATTTAATTTACATGTTATTCTTCTAAATAATTATAAATAATTGAAAACATTTACTTTTAAATTTATAAAATTATATTTATAGTTTTAAATAGTACATTGTCATCCTATATAATTTAAATTTTTTTTCATAGTTTATGTATTTTTATTTTGAGAATGGACCATTTGAGAAAACACCAATTAGAAAGTACAATTTTCAAAAAGTAGTATAAAGTTTAACGTTATTTTAAAGTTGTTTTAACGGTCGTTAGTCGGAGAACTGAATCGAGCATTATATTTAAATAACAAGTACCATTTTAGTAATTAGTTAATTTTGAAGACTAATTGGGAAAAACATATAGTTATTGAGTACTATTTTAGGAATTTACTCTTTTATAAACTTTAAAATATAAAATGATTATGCATTGTAAAATAAAACAAATCTAAGTACGAATTTAGTGAATGCCCGTATTTAGCATGGTGACCTTAGGACCATAATAACACAACTCTTTTACCATGCCAACAAAGTACTTCCTCCGTCCCATTCTATGTTGTCTATTGTGTACGATGTTTAACTGAAGTTATTTTCGAATTAATTTATATAAAAGTTAGGGTAAAATTAAAAATAATATAGACTAGAACTTACATATTAAAAAACCGGAAAATTCTATGGTAGACTTAAAGTCCACCATGGACCTACATAGGAGTAAAATAAGCATTTCTTTAGTAAAATAAGCATCTATTTTTTGTGAGAAGGTCCACCAAAATGGTTTGACCGGCTGGTTGTGTTGGCAGGTCATTAAATTTTTTTTGGTAAAATTAGTTGTTTGAAAAAAGTTGTTTCAAGATTTAAAAATTATATATATATATATATATATATATATATATATATATATATATATATATATATATATATATATATATATATATATATATATATATATATATATATATATATATGGGCCGGTTCAGGTGAGAATGCACCTTGATGAAAGAAATAAGAATAAAATCTAGCCTTTGGATCTGATGCATCGTGCGGCTCAGATTGCATCCTGCGTTCAGATTTTCAGATGGTGCATTTTCAAAGGATTTTGGTACATTTCGACATGATGCATTTTCAAACTATTTTGGTGCTCCTAATTTTGATGCAATCCTGACTATTAAATCTCACAATCTAAAGCACCAGATTCATTCTTATTTCTTTCATAAGATCGCATTCTCACTTGAACCAATATATATATATATGTAGGTATGTATGTATGAAAGTAAAATTTGTTCTCCACAGTACTAAAACATGCTCTCCATGTCTCTGAAAAAAATTCCGCATTACTACTAAAGAAAAACTAGCTAGCTAGAAGTCTAGAACTAAAACATGTTCTTCAATATAGCTGACCCATGTTATCTGTACCCTTCTTTTCTTTAACTAAAGTAATGGGTTCCTAATGCTAAAACTTTGTGCCAGAAAGGGTTATATTTAAGCTGGATAGATACCCTTCTGGCTGTAACATACAGTTGAAACAAATTACTTTCATTGCACAAGTCAAAAAGAAAAATGCAACAGAAGAGAAATGAAACACAGCAAAGGCGAAAAAAATCCTGAGTTCGTTCCGTAATCGGCTAACATTACTGGCAGGAAAGCACAACAACAAGAATAGAGACAATAACCATTACTGGCAGGAAAGCATCAATACAAATCGTTTCATACATCCCCTGCTTGTGGGAGAGAAAGAGAAACCGAAAATGTCTGAATGAATCAGCAAAGCATTTCAGTGTGCAGGAAGAAGGAAGAACAGACATACATATCAATGGATCATTACCAAAAAGGCGCTGCTCCTACTCTTTGCCAAAATCTGCATTGTAATGTGCACTAGATTCGAGCTTCTTGGCTTCATTCAGTTTTCGGACGGCCTACAAGTTCGAAATGATAATGACATTACAAGATCGATAATGTTACTACTCTCAGTCATCTTGGCTATTCTAATTCCTGTTAAAGAGTTAGGGCTGGAAAGACCTAATGCCCACCTAGCCTGGTGGTGATTTAGAGAACTCCAGGTGCAATAATACTCCCTCCGTCCCAATATAAGATTTCACAATTGAAAGGGCACAGTTATTAATAAAGGTGGAAGTGTGTGGTTGAGTTTTGTGTAAAGGAAAGAGAAGTTGAGTGAACCACACAATTTTCCCTCCCTCAAAGGGAATGAGGAACCTTTTTAAGGATAAAAAAGGAAATATGGAACTCTTTTATGGGACGGATAGAGTGCTAGGAAATGTGAAGCTTTTTTGGACTAGGGAGTCTAGACTACAAGATCATGCTAGGTAATAGCCCAAGACTTCATATATTAAATTTTCATTTTTCTAATGTGCGATGAATTGCATAACATATTGGCCTCAAAAACCATAGAACCATAAAAATTGGAGAACACACCTTCATAAAATCTTCATGGATAACATAATCTCTCTCAGCGCGGATAGCTGACATTCCAGCTTCAGTGCACACATTACGTAGGTCAGCTCCATTAAACCCCTGAAAATGAATCAAGAATCAGTTGACCAATGAACAAATGCTACGATTGCTCAATTAACTAAGAAAACATTAGCGAACAAACCTCTGCAAGCTTAACAACAGCTTCATAATCAATTTCGCCATGTTTCGCAATTCCTGCAGCATGAATTTTAATAACTTCCATTCTCGACTGCTCACTTGGCAGTGGGATTTCGATCTTCCTATCTAGACGCCCTGGTCGAAGAAGTGCAGGGTCAAGAACATCAGGTCGATTTGTTGCCATTATCATTTTTACCTGCACATGATAAAGAGTTCATTGTTGTTTCTTAATCTTGAAGATGTGGTGCATCCCACCATCTCTAGGCCTATGCAAACTAGGCATCAGACTAGGGCACCCGGTTTTTTAGGGCACCAAATTTTTCAAAATATCTTTTATTTATATCATCTCTTATGGAGCCAAAGATTCACTATTTTTTTGGCTTTGGAGTAGGAAGGAATAAAGCAAAAAATGACTCTTTAAATTGTCAGCGCTTCTTTCAATAGTGAAGAAGCAGTTAGTCAATGAAATTTTGACATGCATCATGAGTCATCTAAAAACAGCCGCTCTATGTTTTAAACATAGGGGTCAGGCTGCATGGCTGCATACATCTGACCCCCCCTACCCTACAATGGGCGGGAGCCTTGGAGGCACTGGGGTATGTTGTATCTATTATGTATATCATATATTGATAAATGCAAGCCAAATGTCTAAAGTTCAACCCTGTTGAAGTCGGAAATATCTCGCTGGCCTGATATTATTATTATTATTGGTTATTGCATATAACCAATAATAACTGGGTTCTTACTGTTGTATTGTTGTTGTTGGTTATTGCAAATCCCACTTCCCGTTAGAAAGACCCCTATTTAATTTCTTGCCTAGACCCTCTTAAAGGTTACAAACGCAGACGCAAGAAGCCAACTTAAATGCAATAAACCTCACTCGTCAGTACTATGTAAACATGACAAACATTTTGGAATTAAAAAATTAAATCCGAACATGTTTGTAAATAACCCGAGGAGATTGTGCTATACATAAACATTCCCTCCATCCACAATTAACTCATACCCTTTCCCTTTTTGGTTGTACCAAAAAACTTTACACACTTTTTTACTTTCCTAAAGGATATGTGGTAAAAAAGGATATGTGGTCTGAATTTCTTCTGTCTTCTAAACCAATTTCAACACTCACTTTTTACATATGGCCATTTTTCTTAAACTCCATGAAGTCCAATAGTCTCAATTAATTGGGGATGGAGGGAGTATTCACTTCAGTTTTCCAAAAATAAAATCATTGTAGTCCATATACACTTCATCAATATAGATTAAATGAATGCAATATTGAGTTTAGACTAACCTTATAATTTTATTTTTGAAACTTATAATGTAATAGAAATATTTTCTTATACTAAAAATTCTGTCCTCACCACACTTCATCAAAAAATTCCCTCCCAAACAAATCCCAAGTCTTCCGAAGTTAGTAAGATATACCTTCCCAAGCTGATCAAAACCATCTAGCTGATTAAGTAATTCCATGAGTGTTCTCTGAATTTCACGATCAGCACTTGTTCCCTCACTAAAACGTCTTCCACCAATTGCATCAATCTCATCCATAAAGATGATGCAGGGCTGATACAGAAAAAGAAAAATTGATAAACAAAAAAATTCATGCATGTAAAGGAAAACACATGGACATAACCTGCAAGAATTGGTCTTTACCTGGTGATCACGTGCATAATTGAACATTTCACGAATCAATCTTGCACTTTCCCCAATGTATTTATCGATAATTGCACTAGAAACCACCTGGACAAAAATGTGATCAAATCTTAACATAGTACACAAAAAGTAGAATAGCAACAGATAACCAAAATAACAAGGGTAGTTTGTAGCTACCTTCAAAAAGTTAGCATCTATGTTACTAGCTATTGCTCTAGCTAGCAATGTCTTCCCAGTACCAGGAGGCCCATAGAGAAGTACACCCTGAAATAGAAAATATTCTTTATAGTTGGAGCACATTCATGCATACCATATTTCAGATGTTAAGAAAAATTATGGATCGAAGATTGCAACCACTATCCACAAAAAATATATCTGTCAGTGTGAGGTGTTGGCGTGTTGCTAAAGATACCTTAGGAGGCTTGATTCCAACTCTAAGGAAGAGCTCAGGATTCATAAGAGGTAACTCTATAGATTCCCTAAGTTCTCGAATTTGATCTGACAAACCACCTACAGCAGAGTAGCTAACATTTCCAGGATCCTCATGGAGCATGTTATAAACAACAGGGTCAACCTGGAAAATAATATCAATGCAACAGGGTTCAGGAGCAATGACAAACTGCAAACACTACTATCATATACAACCCATTCCAAGTGGTATTCTACTTTAAAAAAACAAGAGAAAGGATAACCTCGCGTGGGAGAGCTCGCATGATTGTTAGTGTTGTCATGTCAAGGACCACTCTTGTTCCAGCAATCAATTTTTCCTTATCAAGTTTGTTACGGCACCCGACAACATACCTTGGTCCACTGCTTGCTTTGACAATCACTAAAACATACACACACGCAAACAGTTATTATACACACAACATGGTCATAGTATGTAATCATAGTTGTTGATTTATGCTGGCATAATGCTTTACTGATATGCATATAAGCAAAATTTAATATGCACGGATAAGAAAAACTAATACGGAGTAGTATCACAGAAAAAGTTAAAGATAGATTGAAACTTTTAAAGTTTTAACCACATCGAATTCACCACAAATTAGATATCAGAGAATAGAAAGATGCATCAATAGGTACAGACTGCAGCAGAAAAGCCCACACTTTAAAGGAAGATGGCCTATACATTGGAAAAAATTATCTGGGAACTTAAGCTATCGCAAAGAGTTAAAACTGCTCGTTTGGATCTCTGATCGTGAATCCAACACTAGGAGTCAAAGAAAATCAAAGTAAAAGAACGTTTTTTTACAGATACTGCGAGAGTATTTACTTCGTTCATGGTCAAGAGGTCTAAGAACTTCTCCGATGATCTGTCCTACGCTCTGAAGGGACTTCAAATCATCCTCCGTTTTGTTGAAATCCTTCTTGGAAGCTCTAAGACTCTCCCTTACTGCAGATCGTTTACATAAAAAACAGTTGAATTAGAATCAAACCCATTAAACAGGAAAAGAATTCATTGATAGGCCTTCGCAGGTGAAAAAAACAGATCGAAGAATCGCTGAAAGGGGATTTAGGGTTTTGAAACAAGTGAGAGATGTACCAGTCCGTAGCCGGGAGTCAAGCTCCTTATGCTGAAGCAGCTTTTTCCGGTACTCGGCAATAGCATTGCGGCGCCGGACGGCTTCTTCTCCTTCGCTCATCTTCTACAGCGGGATTCAGAAAATCGGTAGGGGGTCAGTCAATATAATTACGAATAATTACGGAGTATTTGGGGAAGCTGAAGATGATGGGAAAATTGTTTTTGGAGGAATCTGGAACGGCGTCGTATAGATCGCTTGCTGGTTGGGCTACGTAAAATGGGTCGGCATTTCATTAATAAAACTAGAAATTGGGAGGAGGCCCATTAGAAATTAGAACGGCCAATTCTTTTATTTATAAATTGTATACATATAAAAAATATAAATTACATATTTTAAAAATATATTAAAAATTCTATAAAACAATAATATTTTATTTTATCAAAGAATCACTAAAAATACACAAGTACATAAAAGCTATCTAAATGTCAAAATAGTAAATTAGATGATTATTTTGAGATGGAAGAAATATTTTTAACGATACAAGTTGTGTAAAAAATGTTATTTTGATAACTGTATGTTTGTATATGGAGTCGCTATTGTACATACGGATGTAAAGTACACCCGAACGAACATTCATTTTCAATAATAAAATATTTATTTCGTATTTTACATATACACTATAGAATATCTGAATGTTCATTTCAAAAATACAAAATACTTGTTATCTCTATACATAATTTAGATTTATAAAACACATTACTTATTTCAACTAAAATAATGACAAATATATAGCTAGTATAAATAATTCTGTGAAATAAGTATTTTGTAAGTCGTAAATAAATATTTGCCGCAAATGTACTAGAAATACCGTACAGTGTCTTCATACAATATATATCGCCCTATCATATTGTACTAATAGAAGGCTAAAATTTAAAATGTGTATATGTGTTTTCCAAAGGCGGCAAACATTGTTTTAAATAGTAAATAAATGATTTAATCTTTCCTTTTGAAAAAAAGCAAAAAAAAAAAAAATATTAGTCTAATGACTCCCATATGATAGTGCTTTAGATAAGAATTTTAATATCACATGAATAACACAAATCTAGCTCACAACTTGAAAATACCCGTAGTAATTTTTTTTATGAACAATACCCGTAGTAAGTTATTATGAAAACAAAGTTTTTTTCTAAATTTCTTTTATACTTTCCTAAAAAAAAACTTTGTATTATAAAGCATCATCCCATCTAAAAATTGGTCATCGAGTGACAAGTGATAATAATGATAGAATTTCATTTCCAAATGGCACACCACATACAATGTGTTACTCCGTACATAAGTTCAAGTCAAACTGATAATTAAATCCACATACATTAAAACTAAATTAAACTCAAACATGCCCTTTACCCTAATTAAACAACCACACCACAATATTTATATTCATCAATTGACACGATGACAGTTGTGCCTGATTTCGCCTTTGAGTCCAACAAGAGGATTGATGTTTCCCATTTTGCGCATAGAACCCGCAAAGTGGTGGAAGAAAAGCGCCTCATCGTTGGCATATGCTTTCACCAGCTCAACCCTCTTCCCCACATTTCCAGCAAGAAGGGCTTCATCAGAAATTAGAAGGCCTTTGTGCGAGAGCAAGAGCCTGAAGTATGTGTTGTCAAATCTGAGAGGAGACGCCACGTCGAGGGGTGAAATGTTGTTGTCCCCTCCGCTCGGAGGGCACGACACTTTCAAGTTATTGTAATACGCCTTCTCGAGAGGCGCATTGAATTGGTTGTTGTTGTTTTGGTTGTACAATCGTTGCCTGAATGTCACGCACCTCGCGACTCCTATGGTGTGCCCACCTGTACGTGTTACTCAATTCGAATAAGTGACAACTTTAAGAAAAAAACTGAAAATGTGTGTGGATCATAATAGTAGCTAGTATGAGTTTGAAATTACCAGAAAGAGCGACAAGATCTTGTTCGTCAAGGCCTTGGCGGTTGAAGAGGGACAAAAGATTTTGGATGGTGGAGTTTGGAGGAGGAATGTTGGTGTTAGCTTCCTTGAAGTTAGCTGTCTTTGAATCTCTCCTTCCTAAAGCAACTTCCCAATAAGGACCTCCACTCTGTTGTTACAAAGCAAAACAGAGATGTCTCATCATAAAATTAATTGGCGATGAGAGAAGTTAAAAAAATGTTTGTTACCATAAGTACGGAATCGCGGGCAGCTATGGCAAGAATATCTGCGCAGGAAACAGTGTGAGGGCACACTTGCTCCACCTTTGCTTTGATCTCATCAATTACTTCAAATCCTCTGACGGAGTTCTTGTTCGGCCCCGCGTCTTTTTCACTAGCCATCGTCGGGGTCTTGTCAAGCAAAATCGATGCATCGCATCCCTTTTATTTTAAAGTAACTGTTAGAATATACTCCGTAAATACATTTCTTGAACCTATACAACCACAACCTTAGAGTTTTGGTTGAATTATTTTTTGACATGATATCAGACTCTTCTTAACTAATAGGTCACAACTTCAAGCCACAATACCATTCAATTTTTTAAAAATTAAATATTCACGTGCCAAGTTTGAAGCGACCATATCTGCATGTGATGCTGCGAGTTAAAAAATAAAAACTTTTCCTAATCTTACAACTGTGAGCTTTAGCTTTTGGTTGAATATTTTTCTTAAAAAATTATTCCATTTGTCCCAAAATAAGAGAAAACCTGGACAAAGCAGTCGTGGAAGTGGAGCCTGAGAAGAGAGGCAGCCACCCTCGGGTCTTCGAGGATGGCTCTCTCTAAGACAGATGAGACAATGTCGGTGGCATGCGGGCACGAGAAGTCATAGAAGAAAGGCGAAAGGCCGCCGGGATGGGCACTAGAGGAAATAACCATCACCATTATTACAAGAAGGCTGCTCAGAAGATTGGTCATTGTTGAGACTGCTTCAAACTTAGATCAGATTTTTTTAAATCTTTCTTCTACCTTTTGTGTGTGTAGTGGATGTGTTATATAATAATAATAATGTGTGTGTCTAAGGGTGTTTATATAACCACTATGTTACCAAATCCTCTACTGGTTTGTGCACTTTAATAGACATGGGTCTAGTTTGAATAGGTGATTGCTTGAGTTCCAACTGCTCCATGAACACTGAAATGAGGAATGTTGTGATCTCACTATGTTTGAACAATGGTAAAAGCCATTTTGTTGGTATCTTTTTATTCATGTCCCACATATATGTGGAGCTAAGTCTCACTAAGTAGGGGAGGTTTTCTGGTTTTTTTGATACTGTAATTCCATTTTAATTTGAAGTGTTTGGCTTGCTATTATTATATACTATCTCTGTTCAATTTTCACTTTTTTTAGTCAAACACGATCGACATTTGATCTATACTTAAATAAAAATTACATGTTATATTAATTAGATATAATAATATCTCAAAATATTTTACAAGATAGACCTAATAAAATTGTTTTTGTATCTAATGATCAAAAGTTATCAATTTTTACTGCAAAAAGTCAAAAACAGACAAATACTTTAGGACCGTGGTAGCACTCGGTATGTATGCATGTCATTTGTTATATAGCCCTTCTACGCCACATTTACATTTCATACTAGTTACTAAAAACTGACCGCGTCAAAGTTAGTACAAGTTGTACATAAGGTGTACATAACCAACCACTAGACAACGAGTGACTGAAGCAACCATTGACCACAGGAGCTAAGAATACACACACATTTACTGAGTCAATCCCCCATCTATAAGAATATTTACATTAAAAAATGCTAGAATAACACCAATTTTGACACCACAAATGACAACCAACTGTCAGTAAACTTGTACACAATCACGATATAATCGTCGGAGAATTCGGTTTGTCCACATTCTATATCTTGTGTGGGTACGAATTGAAAGGCGGTTATTGTTCGTGGTGTCAGGGTTGGTGTTGTTCTAGCATAGCCCTATGACCTATTGTGTGAATTATGTGCAGTGGATACCAGCTTTGAACTGGTACAACAAAATATGACAGAGGGGTAAGATGCTATGACACACACATTTGCCTCATTGGGGTGAGAGCCCTGGCCAAACGCAGGGGCACATACCCTCTCACCGATGTTCCATTTCCTCTGTATTCCTACAATCATACAAAGTAAAAATAATAAATAATAATACTGAGAGGGAAAAGACCAATTCAAGGAGACCATCACATCCAAAATTATCACTTGTCATGTGAATCGCTTTTTTTAGTACATTCTATAACAAGTCCTTTACAACAAGAGGTATTCCATATTTAGTTTTTTATTATCAAATATTACACTTGTGGTTCTTTTATGGGTACATTTCCACGAATTGTTCTTTTTTGACATTTTGTCATGTTGGAGTGAAATTGAGGGCTAAAAGTGTAACTTTACAATGATCGTAAATCTTTTTCTTGTCATAACCAATGCTATAGGTTAGTGATCATGCGTCGTTTGTCAACTAGAGTCGTCAACGACTCCAACCATAGTCTACAGCTTTTGCCGGAATCCTAGTCCACAACCATAGTCATTATTGTGATGTTGTCCGTCAAGTAGAGTAGATGTGAAATTACACTTTTAGTCCTCAATTTAACACCAACATGACATGTCATAAAAGAGTTGTCCGTGGAAAGGTACCCATAAAAAAAGTACACGAATGTAATATTTGATAATGAAGAATTAAATATGGTAAACCATCTATTACGAAGGACCAATAATAAAATTTAATTTTTTGGTAAATCAGGTTCTTTTGTTCATCAAAAACTTTCTGGGGATAAAGAAAATTCCGACCTACCAGGGTTTATCAAACTTGAGTGGAGTTAACACTAAGGTTGACAAACTCAAGCAGAACTAAAAGGATCTAAAAATACTTCCTCCGTCCCAAAATATAAGTTTTTGTTTGTTTTTTTACGAAGTTTTAGAAAAATGAAATTAAGCTTGAAAATAATTTTCTTTTTTTTAATATGAATGAGAACTTTATTTCGGGATGTACAGATATGTGATGATTTTAATTTGGGACGGATGGAGTATACATTTGTAAAGGAGGAAAAAAAATTACTCCTTTTCGCCCACTATTTTTGGGGCATGGGATGGTCAATGGTGGCACACAAATCAAGAAAAGCAGAATTCTTTTGTCAACATTGGCGTTAAAAAGTAGTAAGAAAAAGTAAAATGAATGCAATCCCCATAAACATTATTGAATATATGATGATACGAATTAATGGGACGGACCAAAAAACGATAAAAAGGGGCAAAAAATAGTGGGATGGATGGAGTAGATAAGAAGAAAAAGAGCAGACAATATTGCTTACAGTTTTATCAACAATTCCATCTTGATGTATGGAACTGAGGAGTTCGGCTTTATCAAACGGTATCAAAGCTTCAACCCAAACCATAGTATCCTGTCAAACAAAAGAACCCCCCTCAACAACCAACAACACAAATATGGCAATTAAAAAATAATTCCCTATAAACAGTTATTCACCTTCAGTTTCTTCTGAACTGCATCGCAAAACTCATCGAGCCCTTCACCAGTAAAAGCAGATATGCAAACAGCCTCATTTCTCATGGCTTCCAACTTTATCTTTTCCAGATCTGCAACTTTATCAACCTATTGAGACGAAGGTTTCTCCATTGATTATGTCTTGACAATTTATATGGATTCAAGCAAATATAAACTCATACAGACAATTCAAATTTTAGTGGTTTTTATTAATCTAAAGCTCCATGCTAGGGATCAACCATCACTGTATACAATGATATAATACAAGAGGGTGTTTGGGCATGCTTTTCTAAAAACTGATTACTTTGATAGCAGAATCTAAAAAACTCCATTCGGAGTTGTTTTTAGAAAATGGAGAGACGGTAAACAAACAAAGAAAAGTGGAATTGTGTGATTCATATTAAAGTGAAAAAGCAAGAATCAGTTTGAGCCACATAAATGTTACCAAATATGGTATGGCATGGACATAAATAGTTATGAAAAAAACTGTGACGAAGGGAGTATTACCTTATTCCATACCATCAACTTTGGAATTGAAGATGCATCAATTTCCGAAAGAACATTATCCACTGCTTCAATTTGTTGCTCTGCCAATGGATGACTACATTTTGTAGTTACAAATGATCAGAAATAAGTGGTTTGCAGTTTAGTACGACTAATACAGAATTTAAAGATAAAAAATTTACCTGATGTCCACCAAATGCACCAAAAGTGATGATTCAGATATTTCTTCCAATGTTGCCCTGAAGGCAGCAACCTATGTTCACAAGTGAAGGTGATTTGTACTATAAACATCAATTTGTACTCAAAGTAAAAAAGGTTTTAGTATTGATTGCAGAATTTGGGAGATTACCAGCGTAGTTGGTAACTTTTGGATGAACCCAACTGTATCCGTCAGGAGAAACTCTCTCGCATTCTTCATCTGTGTGTTTCAACTTTCATAGAGTTCAGTATAATGAAAAAAATCTATTTCTATACAATGTGAATTAAACATCAGAAACTTCTCCTGACAGGTTAAATACAGAGATTAAATTTTCAGAAACTTCAGATGAATGGAAAATATCAATCATATATAGCAAAATCTATATTTCCTCTACTCTATGTACTCACCTGAACCCTTCGTGTTGTGGGATCAAGTGTGGCAAATAACTTATCCTCAGCAAGAACATCAGCCCCTGTCAGCCTATTCAGTAAAGTACTCTTTCCAGCATTTGTGTATCCAACCTAAATCATCAAGCATTCAAGCTATACTATAAATTTACTGGTATCCTATTAACATGACTAAAAGACCACACAAAGTCTTGTATCAATGTATCATTGTACCAAAGACACAACAGGGACAGGAATAGAGGTGCGTCGGTTCCTATACTGTTTTCTATGCTTCCGGACAGATTCTAGCTCTTTCTTGACAATCCCAATCTATCAAAAAGATCAATAATACGAAACATGTTTAGACATTATATAAAACCAGGTACAACATAAAGCCAAAATTGTTACAATTGAACATATGCTCATATAAGAAATGCATAGCAAGATAACTACTTACTTGAGTACGTAATATACGCTTATCAACTTCAATTTGTTTTTCACCCATACCTTTGACCTGCCCTCCAGCTTGACGCTCAAGGTGAGTCCACATTCTTGTTAGCCGTGGTAACTGGTACTCCATTTGTGCTAGTGAAACCTGGATACTTTTCAAATTGTCAGGCTAAAAGACTGCAGATTGATGCATGACTACAATCAACCATAAAAAAAGGGTTACCTGCAGAGCAGCTTCACGGCTGGCTGCACGTTGGTTAAATATATCCAGTATGAGAGCAGTGCGGTCACACACTCTGACATCACCTCCAAGAGATTTCTCCAAGTTACGCAACTGCCTAAAATGTGGAGCATGATACATGAATATGGTTGATAAAAATCCATATCCCTTAAATCTTATGAGGAAAAGATTGGAATAAAACAAGGGGTATCATCACACTATCAGGTATATATAAAACCGGAAATGATCATACATTAGAAATCAAAACCCTCACATACTATGGAAAATGAAAACACCTTTTGGGTCTAATCGGAACACACAAATCGTTAGGGAATGAATAAAGAGAGGGACATAAAGGGGAGATTATGAAGTAAATAAAATGTGGTGGGAGAAAGAGAGAGAGAGAGAGAGAGAGAGAGAGAGAGTGCGGGGGGATAAAACATTGGTTCACACTTAATAATTTATTTTTCTATTTGTCCGACCCCTACTTCCCAAGTTGGAGTATGGTCTATGTACACACACCGTCCATAGACCCCACCCTGAGATTTTACTGGGTTGGTTGATGTATTAGTTCAACCCCATCTTAATTGTTTATTTTTGTTATACAGAGACTATGAGGTCTAGACACATATGTAAAACTTTGAAAAACATCAATAATATCTCATTTCCCCTTGCATTTTATGTGGTAAAATAGAACACAAGAAAATTCTTTTACTTATCATATTTAGAATCTATCTAGTCTGGCAAGAGTTCTTTCAGGATGTCTACATACAAATATTCATACAAGAATTGAAATGAATTAGAACAAACCCCGGTGAAAGTTCATCATCAAATATTACAGTCTCAACTCCAAAGGCACGGATTGCACTCTTTACTTCTGCCACTTTGCCAGATCCTATATACGTCCTAGGATTCGGAGTAGATAGTCTGCAAAATGAGAAGGAATAAGCAGGCAAAGTTTGCAGTAAAATCGAACCAATCAACAATATGCAAAAATGTGTGTGAAGTCACATCACTTTAATTATCAAGCGCCATCTTCTACTTAAACAGTAAGAATGGTTCTAAATTTGTGTAGCTATGGAATCACTCCAACTATGTATCATACCACAACAAATCAAGCAATTAACAGAATCTCCAGAATGTGAGCCCTCTTCCCAATTGCTAAAAAAGTGAATTGGGAGAAGATTCAAGTTCGTACTCACTTTTGAAATGTAGAGCCAACAACCACTAGTCCAGCAGTGTCAGCCAGTTGAGCCAGCTCTTTCAGTGATTCCTCAATGTCAAATGAATCATCCCTGCTGCTTTTGCAGGCAACTCCTACTAAGTAGGCTTTTTCCTCAAAACCCTAGACTTTTCACGATTTAGCCAATAAGTGGTGCACGCATGATGCCATTATTTTGTTTCCCCATGGAAATCTTGAAAACATCCAATTCATCCTCGGAGCAAAAAGATTGAGTAGATTTCGAAGTAAATCTGGAAACTTTGAAAAACTAACCTCGCCAGTTCTCTTCAACGCAGGCCTTTGAGCATTTTCTTCTGGTTCGACACTTGCATCATCTACATTGAACCCTTCTAGATGATCAGCAACTTCGTCTTCACTGCCGGCCTCGATCACAGGGTTGCGAACGGGAACCGAATCGTCCGGAGATAAGACTCCGATTCCATCTTCAAAAGCTCTAAGAAAACCAGGAGAAACGTGCTTTGTTCGCCGCGGGTGGACGGATCGGACCTGCCGGAGAGGCCTGGGAACCCAGCGGAAATCGGGCTCGGTGAGCGAAATTGAAGGCGTAAAATTTGAGCAGAGGAAGCATAAACTCATGATCAAAGCTTGTTAGGGAAGATGATGTAATGGATAATCAGATAAGATAAGAAGCCAAGAACCAGACACAATGAGACTGAGCTTGCAACAGTGGTATTCAACTATTCATTCATTTTGATTTTTCAGTTAATCAAGTGAATCTCACATTATGATTATTTCTTACTTCTCCGTCCCACTATATTTGTTCACTCTCATTTTTGCAGACCATCCAATACACTTCTTTAATCCATTTTATTGTGTAATTTGTATATTAAAAAATTATAAAAATTACTCCGGTATATATTAATAATCTATATGTTAAGACAAATCAAACAAGATCACGCATGACTATATTTAGGCTTACACATTGAGAGAATTTGATGAGTCAAAGTGCTTAGATGAACAGTTCCAAAAGTCAAAAGTGGACGAATATAGCGGGACGGAGGGAGTATTGTCTATAAATTTTAATTATCAATTAAATGAAAATTACATTGTAAATTAATGCAACAAAACAATTTTTAAAAAAAAATTGAAAAATCTAATGAAATGAAGGACCTTGTGCGGTGGGTAAGGCTATGGCTCTCCTCCCAAATGAGTGATCACGAGTTCGATCTCCAGTACAAACATTAAATCATAAGAGTTTTAATATGTTGAAAACGTATAAAATTGTATTGTAATAGAGTTATTAGTATTTAAAAAACTATACTCCGTATTCATCAAATGAGTAATAAAATTAAAGAAAAACATGATTGAAATTGGATACTCTAATAATAAGTAGTCCAATCTTTACGAGAGAGGAATATTATTCAAATACAAGTATTATTTTATGAGAAAATGCTAAATTAAAGGGAAGAAAATAAGAAAAACCATAAGAGCACTGGTAATGGGCGTAACGCCCGGTGCGTTATTACCTCTTTTAACGCCAAAGGGGCAGCAAACACCATCCCCTTGAGGCTTCAAAGGGGCTTCATTTCTTCTACTTCAAAAGTTTAACGGGCTTCAAAGCCCCCCCACTCTCTCTTTAAAAAAAATATACACAAACATAATTTTTTTTACTCTATATTTTATTGTTTAATGTAATTTTTTTTGTTTAAATTTTTTTTAGTAATGTAATTTTGTTTTGTTTTTTTATTAAATTTAAGATACTTTTTTTATTGACTGTATTTTTTATTTAATGAATTATTTCAGTTTGCAATATGTTACTACAACTCGAATTTGAATGAAGATATTTTTAGTCGCTCGAATAATTAGTACTCCGTAATTTCTTTGTAGTGTTGTTTTTTATGGATGTAATATTTTTTTAATGGATGTAATTTTTTTTAATTATTCTTGTTTCAATATAATTAAATAATAAAGTAATTAAATTTATTAAATTAAATTTAGAAGATGTATATTTAAAAATGTAAAAAATGAAGGTTTGAAGCCCAGTTTGAAGCCCCGGGGCTTCAAACCCACATTTCCAGTGAATTTTTGGTGTAAGTTAAAGCTGACATGGCAGAGACAGAGAGTTTGAAGCCCCGGGGCTTCATACGTATTTCCAGTGCTCTAAAGAGATTGGTCTTTCCCTAATTTCCTTCAAGAATCAAAGGAAAATAATACTAAGTACTTCTGTTCACCATAAATTTTATCAGACACTTTTTACGAGATCAAACTTAATTTACTTTATTTGCTTATTTTTACTATTCATTTCATAGAATAATATAGTCTTGTCAAATTTTTCAAGTAGTTTTTTACTATGCAAATTTTATTTTTAAATTTTACCTCTTTGATTATACTTTAAGGCAAGCATGTTGGAATATTATCTTTTTATAATTAGTTAAACTTACTTCTAGAAAATCACGATGAAGCCTTTCTTAATTGAGTGTTTATTGCCTTTAATTACAATCATTCCCTCTCAAAGTAAAAATTCCAATTTTTGATTCATTTCCATGTAAACTTTTCATTAAGCATTTGAATGGCTCTAATTCTTCTTCACCCCTCATCAAAAATCACAACCACAATTTCACATTTTCTTCTCAATATCGATAAAAAAGCAAATATGAAATTTAACTCAAGATGGATGGGGTGTCATTATATACCCCGCCACCCCGGAGTATTTAAAATAAAGATGATAACAACTTATTCTCACCCAATAATAAAAATTGATTTAGTGTACTTAACATGAAAAACAATTTTTTTTTAGAAAAAGGCACTCATCTTGTAGAATGCCCATTACAAATAAATGTTGGACTACAAAAGGGAAAAAAGCAACAAATTAATTCAAATCTTATCATATCCTTTGTGTTTTGAATAATTAAAAGGGAAGCCAAAAACCCCTATAATTCTTTACATCCAAAGACCGCTGACAACGAACGTATATGAATTTTTTTAAAAAACCCCAACCTCATTTGGTTGAGATTTTTAGGTTCATTATGCTGATTCTGATTCACAAATTCCACTAGAATCACTTGGCTTTGTGTTCAGAATCAACAAAACAAATAAGCAGAATCTGATTTTCAGAACCAAACCGGTGTTTGATTCTCTACAAGCAGCAAAGAAAATCAGACTGGTGATTCTGAGTATAAGAATCAGTCAAAACCAGAAACTGAACCAAATAAGCCCCTCCTAAGAGACAGGAGTGGTAGAATATAAGAGAGTGAAGAACAATTCAACGTCCGGCAGGTTCTGGATGACTTGGATATACCTGTTGTTGTTGTTGTTGTTGGGTTCTTCATCAAGCAACAGCTGACTGAGATGGGCCAGCCTTGGCAGAAGTTTGGCTAATGGCAGTCCTGCCATCAAATTCGCTTCTCCGCATTGTGCGCTTATGTTCTTCACCATTTCATCAACCCCTGCCTTCAATGATGTCTCGACTATGTTCCCGAATTCAGCACTGCTCCCAGAATAACATGAAAATTGCACGAAATGAGATCTCGAGTAAATAACTAAAGAACAAAGTAGAAATCCCCTAAGATTTTTAAAAAATGTCAGCTAAAAGACGACAACTTAATAAAAATGGCAACTTCAAATTACCCAAATGAAGTTTCACTGCAGAACATGGAAGGCATAATAAGTACCTAGATATCACAGCACGTGTCTCGCGCATGAGTTGTTCAAAATTAGAAGGACAAAACGTGTCTGTTATTTCACTGTGAGGAGAAGCTGCCGCAAGACTGTACATCTTAGGGTCCTCTGGAATCAAATAGCCCAACCAATGTTGAGGGCTTCCCATGCTCATGAAATTGTCCAATATCTGCATAATGGTATCTTGAAGGACAGTAGAGCTGAATACATCCTTTAGCTGTTTACTGCAAATAAGAGAAGAATTGTGAGGAGAACTTTTCAGGGGTGATGAAGTCACTAAATATAAGAGAGAAAGAAAAAGAACAGCGAAAATACTGCATGCACAAAGGCTATCTGGGAAATTGTAACTACGGCTTTCACTTGACTTCTAGATGAATATATCACATGTTTTTTTTCACGCAAGAAATGCAATAGAGGGGGGGAAACAAAAGGCTCAGAGACACCAACCCTTTGATGACTTCAGAAGTTGCTGCCTCAAATTTTGAAACTAAGGTAGTCAAACCATAGTTGGCAAGATAATCGGCAGTGGACAAAAACAGTTTCTGTTCATCTTTGTAGATTAGATCAGCCTCCTCCTGCAGTTAACAACAACTATGGCTTTTAACATACGAATCAATATCAGTGAAGACTTGCTTTGGAGTGGCATATAGGTATGAGTTTTGATGTTTACGATAATTGGTCTTCGAAACAAAGGTTTTCTTGCACGGAATAAAACTAATGTAGGGTAGTAACGATAGCCAACAATTTTCTTTAATCTCTTTGAATAACAATATCACTGCATTAAATAAACACAGAAGAGATGAATGGGTATGCCTAAGGGAATTCAGGAGCATTGTTCAGGTCAACATCCTTTAAGTACTTCAGTAGATTAACTAAGGCTGAAACTCAATATGCCAAAATCAAGCGCTAAAAAAATGCAGTGATAAATCAAGCGCCAAAAATCAATATGCCAAAATCAAGCGCTAAAATTTGCCAAAATCAAAATCAAAATCCCAAACACTGTCAATTTCCAACTATAACCCACATCTTCAAATTCTAGCCACCACCAAATGACCAAATTTGTGTTTAAATGGATGAATTTTACTTCTCCAACTTATGATCAGATTTAGTTGACTTTTGAGCCATTGACCTTATATTTTTAACAAACAAATTCCGTAAATAGTATCTAAAGACAGATGCTGCTATATAGCCTTTTATGATACAACACCATTTTATTACGGAGTACATTGTTGGGTTTTGTATGTTTTTTCAATAACTGAAAGAATGTAATGTTTTGTGTAAAAAATACTCCGTATTTGAGTACTTCTAACCATAATATAAAAATATTGCTGAGTGTTTCACCTTCTGTTCATATGGAGTATTAAGTAATGTTAAAGTTAGACGGATTAAAAAAAACTCACTAAATATATCATAGAATCTTACAAAATAGTGATATTGTACCCTAATTATACATATCTCTGGAATATTAGAAGCTTCTTTAATTGAAAATCGGTGAAAGGGAGAAAATGAAGAACTGGTATTTAAATCTCAATTTCATGAAACAGCACACAGTGAAACACTTCTTAACCAAAAACACTTCATATGAAACCGATGAAGTTTTATTTCTAGTTGAAGTATTAAACTTGTGTTTAAAAAATACAGAGTATCAGTTGTGAACAAAACATATTTGTCTTCTGTCTGCATTACCGTTATATTTAACTCTGTTGACAAGTGATAACATCTCAAGTCCTTACTCAATTTGACACAAATAATGCATGTCTTAGAAAATTACTGTATCATTGCCCCTCACCTTAAACCCAACTAGTTGAGGTAGTCAGCATCAAATTTATAGCGAGGAAAGAAACAAAAAAATATTGTTGCCCCTCACTACGCTGCGCAGAGGAACATGCCCCTTTGCTCATCTCCATCTTCCTTCCTACAAAACAACAGTCCATATCTTCTCTCAAACCACTACCCAATCCCAGTTTCCATCTATCATTTTTTTCCTCAACCCTTTCACATATAGTGCATTTTCTTGACTTGCAATGCTTCTTGACTGCTGAATACTAACACCTATTAGCAATAAATCTTCACACCACTAGTGTAGCAAGAACAATGTATGTTCATTACAATCCAAAAGAAATTACACAAAATTAATCGTACGAATGAATAGAAGCATCAACTCACACACAGTTGGGGACCATGAAGTTATTCAACAGCAAAGGCAATTACCACGGTAGATTTTGGCAACAAAATAGAGGATTGTTACTTTATTAGAGCAACCCTTCCTGAAACTTTCCCCTCCTCTCTTACGGAGTATTTTATTTCTCATGCCACATGACTTTCCCCTTTAATATTCCCCTCACAACTTTAGTGTTTCCTCTCATCTTTCCTTCTTTCTTTTTAGATGG